TTGCGAGTGTTGATGAGGATTGGAAATTGGGACCCTCCATACAGCCACTTTGGAAAATGACCTGGAAGTTCCTAAAAAGGTTTAACAGAGCCAGGTGTAGTGGCACATGCCTGTAATCCCAGCACTCTGGGAGGCTGAGGCAGGGAGATTGTGAATTTGAGCCCAGCCTGGGTACTTTTAGTAACTTAGAGAATCCCTGCCTCAAAATTTAAAAATAGCTGGGGCTGTGGCTTATTAGAAGGTCTTGGGTTCAGTCCTCAGTACTGAAAAAAAAAAAAAAACTCAACAAATACCTTATAACCTAGCAATTCTACTCTTATATGAAGAGATACATTTAGATATCTATTATACTACTATCTATTACTACACTACTATCTATAGATATATGTATATTTATATTTATATCCTCGAGAGAATTGAGAGAATATGTCCACACAAAAACTTGTATATGAAGGCTCATAGCAATATAATTCATAATAGCCAAGAATCAGAAACAGCCCAGATGCCCATTAATTGATGAATGGATAAACAAACTGTAGTATATTCGTACAGTGGAATATTATTTGACAGTAAAAAGAAATGCTACATGCTACAAATGGATGAACCTCTAAAACATTGAAAGTGACAGAATCCAGATGCAAAAGACCATCGTATATTGTGTGATCTCATTTACGTCATAAATTATTGTACAGTCAAAAATAATGAAATTCTACCCTTTGGAGATTGATGTCATTTCTACTAGCTATGCTAGAATTTGGGGGGCGGGTGGGCTATACTGTTTATGTTGATTTTTTTTCTCTTTCTTTCTTAGGGCCCTGGTTTGATATGTATTTATCTGCTCGAGACTCCATTGTTCTGAACTTTAATCCATTTATGGCATTCAATCCTGACCCAAAATCTGAATATAATGACCAGCTTATCCGGGCAACCAACATGGTTGTTTCTGCCCTCCGGTTTCTCAAGACACTGCGGGCTGGCCTTCTGGAACCAGAGGTGTTCCACTTGAACCCTGCCAAAAGTGATACTAATACCTTTAAGAGACTCATACGCTTTGTGCCTTCCTCTCTGTCCTGGTATGGGGCCTACTTGGTCAATGCATATCCCCTAGATATGTCCCAGTATTTTCGCCTCTTCAATTCAACTCGTTTACCCAAATCTGGTCGGGATGAACTGTTTACTGATGACAAGGCCAGACATCTCCTGGTCCTAAGAAGAGGACATTTCTATGTCTTTGATGTCCTGGATCCAGATGGGAACATTGTGAGCCCCTCAGAAATCCAGGCTCACCTGAAGTACATTCTTGCAGACAGCAGTCCTGTGCCTGAGTTTCCTCTGACCTTCCTGACCAGTGAGAACCGTGACGTCTGGGCTGAGCTCAGGCAGAAGCTGATGCACAGTGGCAATGAGGAGATGCTGAGGAAAGTGGACTCTGCTGTGTTCTGCCTCTGCCTAGATGACTTCCCCATTAAGGACCTGGTCCACTTGTCTCACACCATGCTGCATGGCGATGGCACAAACCGATGGTTTGACAAATCCTTTAACCTCATTGTAGCCCAGGATGGCTCTGCTGCTGTCCACTTTGAGCATGCATGGGGTGATGGTGTGGCAGTGCTCAGGTTTTTCAATGAAGTGTTTAAAGATAGCACTCAGACCCCTGCCATCACTCCCCAGAAACAGCTGGCCACCGCCAACTCTTCTGCTTCTGTGCAGAAACTCAGCTTCAAGCTGAACGATGCCTTAAAGGCCGGCATCACTGCTGCTAAGGAAAAGTTTGATGCCACCATGAAAACCCTAACCATTGACTCTGTCCAGTTTCAGAGAGCAGGCAAAGAATTCTTGAAGAAGCAGAAGTTGAGCCCTGACGCTGTGGCCCAGCTGGCCTTCCAGATGGCTTTTCTGCGACAGTATGGGAAGACAGTGGCCACCTATGAGTCCTGCAGCACCGCAGCCTTCAAACATGGCCGCACCGAGACCATCCGCCCAGCCTCCAGCTTCACGAAGAGGTGCTCTGAGGCCTTTGTCAGGGAGCCCTCCAAGCACAGTGCCAGCGAGCTCCACCAGATGGTGGCTGAGTGCTCCAACTACCATGGCCAGCTGACCAGAGAGGCAGCAATGGGTGAGGCGGAGTGGGAGCATGTGCTATCACTGGGTTTAGTCTACCTGCCAGCTCCCTAAATGATTGTTTCCACCCTAGCAGTTTGAAGAGCCAGACAAGCCACTAGGGATCAAAATGACCTCATGTCCTCCACAAGGATGGGGAAGTGCATCGAACTTTCCCCTCATTTAAGGTCACTTTCAGCTGTTAGCACGATTTATTCATTCGTTCTGCCTGCCTTTCTCTTTTTTTCTTTAATCACTTATTGATTACCAGACTCACTTTTGACAGTGTAAGATTTCTAAGCTGTAGCCTCTCTTCCTTCTGCTCAGATGTAGTATGTTGGTTCCCTATAAATAGGATCTCTCAGAAGCTCTTCCCAGTTTCAAATGTCAACCTTCTTTGCCTCTTTGTGATAAAATTCAACACCTGCAAAGGATTGGCAGATCCCTTCGTCCAGTCCTTCTGTGTAGCTATAAAGTCCTGAAACTGAAAGGGACCTTGGAGACCTAGTGTTCTCCTTTTCCATTTGTAGGTAGGAAAATGGGATCACTGTCCCAGTGTTACACAGCAAATGCAAGGCTGACTCAATCTTGTCTTTTATGTGTGGATTGGACTTTGGTTTTGTCTTTGTGTGTGTGCATGTGCACATGTGTGCTGGGGATTGAATCAAGGGCCTTGCATGTGCTAAGCACATGCTCTACCACTGAGCTACACCTCTAGCCCTGTATCTTAGTTTTTGAGTGTAGCTTTCTGTTTTTTTGTTTTTTTGTTTTTTTTTGGTACCAGGGATTGAACTCGGTTCCTTGCGCTTGCAAGGCAGGCCACCAAACCATGCTAAATCCCTGGCCCAAGTGTAGCTTTCTTATATGGTCTTCACAGTTTGACTGTGACTCAGTTTTTTAAAACCATGCTTCCAGGTTATGCTGTTTTTAGCTTAGCTGTTGACAGCTGAAAATATATTTTTAAAATAATGTAGACATTCTGGAATGATCTGCTCCAAAGGTAAGTGTGCTGGAAGTATGCATGCAGCGGTAGACAGACCCTTCTTCCTCTCTCCAGGATTTCGTGAAGAGGATTCCCACCATGGCTGGGGGCGTTGCCCATGGTCCGTTCAGTTCTGAGATTCTTTTTCCATTTTGTCTCTTGACAGGCCAGGGCTTTGACCGACACTTGTTTGCTCTGCGGTACCTGGCAGCAGCCAAAGGGATTGCCCTGCCTGAGCTCTACCTAGACCCTGCATATGGGCAGATAAACCACAACATCCTGTCCACCAGCACGCTGAGCAGCCCTGCGGTGAGCCTTGGTGGCTTTGCCCCTGTGGTCCCTGATGGCTTTGGCATTGGCTATGCCGTTCATGACAACTGGGTAGGCTGCAATGTTTCTTCTTACCCGGGACGCAATGCCCGGGAGTTTCTGCAGTGTGTTGAGAAGTCCTTAGAAGACATGTTTGATGTCTTAGAAGGCAAATCCATCAAAACTTAGCTTGCAGGTGGGTGAACAGCTTTTATTGCTTCCTCATCATGAAAATGGGGTTCCATGCAGCCAATAGGTGCTATTCTGTGCTTAATCATAGGCGCCTAAGCAGCCAGTGGCTGAGCTGTAAGATCGGGGTTTAAAATAAAACATGTCATTTCTGAGTGGGACTAGATTACAACTAAAGATGAGAGATTTCAGTTTTAAGACCCTTTGATCAGGAGATAGGGATTGGAAAAATAACTCAGGGTTATTTATTGTTTAAGCAGAAATAAAATTGAAGTGTTGCTGGGAAATGGTCCTTAATTTTTTTTATACCTAATTTCTTAATCCCCATGAACTTTCCAGCTGTAAGTTCAGGTAGCATTGAGTTCCTGTTGGCTGCAGGCTCTTCGGGTGGTATGGGAAGCAGTTTCAGCCTCTGTAAACTTGCCTCCCTCTCTTGGCACACTGTTTAAAAGCACTCTTTGTCGTCCTATGGAGTGAACTGCTCTGGAATAAAAGAACTTCCCACGGATTTAGGGGCTGCTGTTTTACTCCTCTTCCTCCACATAAGGATTTAGAATGGGCACGTGTTTGAAGTACGTATTCTTTATAGTTGTAGGAAGCAGACATTAGTCCACCTTTTGCAGTAAAGGACCTCTCCACTGAGTGAAACGGGTGCAGAACTTATTTTTCCTCCGCAGTTAGAATACTGCTGTAATGTAGAAAGACAAGCATTTTTAATTTGATTTTTGTAAAGAGGTTTTGTGTTTAATCCTTCTGTATCCTTAGTGGCTTCCCAGTGAGTTACGGATACAGCTGGGTTTGAAATTTGGTAATAGGTCAGTCACGTATCACTTTCAGTGTATTACCTCATTTAACACCATAATTCATACAGCATGCGATGTTACAAAGATTAACAACAGCTGAGGCACCTGGCACACAGCTGAAGTTAATCTCTGTTCTATTACTGCTTTGGGGATGTTTGTGAATTACTGTTAATGGCTTACACTTCATTTGAGGGTCTGATCCAGCCCCTTTCCTCAAGTGCTTGGTGCAGAATCGGCCCTGAAGGAAAATGCACCAAATGGTCATTCAAATGCACGTGCAAAAAAATAGCTGGGACTGTTGATTCCTGCAGCTTTCTGAAGGCCAGATAAGACAGCCACCTCCTCTGGATTCCCAAGGGACTAAACAATGAACGATCTTGGACCAATGGTGTTTGGCTCACTGAGCAGTGCGACCGAGACAGCATTGTGAAATGACTGCTGTGGCTAGCTAGGCAGGGGTCCCTGGGCCTCTGGCCTCCCTGGGAATCAGCAGAAATTACCACTGCACACAAGGCCTGTGGCCTGACCGTACCCAACCTTCATCTCATTGTTAGGCTCAAAAACCAAAGATTTTGCACAAAGGCCCAGTTAAGAAAAATGCTTTAGGACTCACTTTCCACCGTCTCTATTTCAAGTAGCCTCAGCTTATACCTAGACAAGACACTACTATCCTGGAGTGTGGGGCAAGTGACTTTCTGTTAATCACTTACCGTAACTTACCGTAAATGTGTCTAGGCGTGGCTATGAGGGGTAGAGCCTAGACATGCCACCATTTGTGCTAACCTAAAGTAAGATTTTCAGAGCCGAGAACGCCCTCATTTTTCAGTTGGAAAAAATGAAGTCTTGAGAAGGCATTTGGCCTTTACAGGAAGCTGGAGCCAGGGACCTGCTACACCTACATACCCAGTGCCAAAGCACTGAAGCTCATTCTTGGAATAGATCCTTGAATGCAGTGGGAAGTAGGGTCCCAAACTTATTATATTATTCAAAGTTTAACAACTACTTCAACACATTTATTGATGAGTTAATAATTGCTGAAGCCGGGCATGGTGGTGCATGCCTGTAATCCCAGCACTTGGGAGGCTGAGGCAGGAGGACAGCTGTGAGTTCAAGACCTGCTTAGGCTACATAGTTCCAGGTCAGTCTCAACTACACAGTTAAACCCTGTCTCAAAAAAAAACAAAACAAACAAAAATTAATCTGCTGATGTGCTTCACCATGTTGTTATCAGTTTCATGCATCAGCAGTTCCCTTTGGTTCCTATTCTGCTGGGCAATTTGAATAACCATTGCCAGTATCATAAATACACCAATAACTGACAGGGATTAATCTCCCATCTGTACAATTTAGATTTCAGAATCAAATTCCACTAGAGAAGTTGAGACTTCAGTAAGAACTTATAAACTAATTTATCAACTTTATAGTATCTTTATTCAAGCCTTCCTATCCATTAATAGTACAGATCTTCATTGCTTTAGGCTCTACCATATAGATGTGAAAGTTCTTACCAGTTTTGTTTGTTTGTTTGTTTTTGAGACAAGGCCTCACTATGTGGAGACTAACCTGGAACTATGTAGCCCAGGCTGGTCTTGAACTCACAGCGATCCTCCTGTCTCAGCCTCCTGAGTGCTGGGATTATAGGCGTGTGCCACCATGTCCAGTTCTTATCAGTTACTTTTGAGGGGGTATTTTTTGGTTGCTGTTGTGATTATCTTTTCTTGAATTATAAATAGTATACTGAAATGCACTCAATTTCTGTAAGTTAATCTTAGACCTAGCATCTGTTCTTTTGGAATAGCAGAAAACCATTATCTGTGAAGAACTGAGTTCTTTCTCCCTTTTCTAACTTTTCACCTTATCATCCCACACCAGTGGCATCCAACACAAAGAACAGCAGCTGTGGCTGAGGGCTCCTCCTCTCTCCTGACCTTGGGTGTGTCCTACTTCAAACACTTCCATCACTGATTAAACACTTGCTCTAGGTTTTCTGTAGATATACTTCTTGGAGTTCCCTTTTACTCCTGGTTGCTAAGAGTTTGATTTGTTAAATGGATATTGAGTTCCACTGAATATCTTTTCCAGTTTTAACCTGTTAATGATCCACTTGAGTTCTCCTACCTCCTGACATATCCAAAGTAATTTAAAATATGAAGTAACCTTGACTTCTGCAACTTACACACTGGCTAAGAGACTAAATGCAAGAACAGATGCTTCCCCCTACCCTAAGTTCCCTGTGTGACTGACTTCCTGTCGAGGCAGTGGACCAGGCAGTGGGCAAGGGGTGGGCTGAAGGAAGACTGCAGAAGGCCTGCTGTCAGATGCAGAAGAGCCCAGGCAATAGGGAATGTAGTGATTTAGAGCCACAGTGTGGCTGTCAGACTGAAAAGGGGACAGCCCTGCACACCCTTGCACAGCCAGCTTTGCCTGAAACCAAAAGATTTCTTCCTAGAGCCCTGTAGCCAGCCCGGGAGTTGGCAGACCCTTTCCCACTCACAGAAAGTGGTAGCCACAGATACTTTTTCTTCCAAAGAATTCCAAGTTCCGCCAGAACAGTGGAGAATTAAGGACTGTGGTTAACAGGTTTTATAAATGGTGGGTTCACCAGAGTGAAGGCATGTGCATCCTCTCATGGCCAAGCCCTTGTCTGGCTGGGGATCTTGGGCCCACGAGCAGCTCTTGACTACCTCTTCACAACTCCAAAGTATTGCCCAGAGGCAGAACAACACAATAGTGTGGCCACAGGGGCAAACTAGGATCCACAGGAGAACCTCAGGGAGCACAGAGGCTGACTCAACACAAGGACAAACTTTCATACCAATGCTCCAGATGGGCTGGGAATGCCCCATCACAGCAAGTGAGCAGACCTAATGACCATTAGCCAGGAATTATGTACAGCAAAAATAGGCCAGGAGTGAGCTGCTGCCCTCTAAAGTCTTTTAGTCCTGCTATGTGAAGTGTCACCAGCCAACAGAAGCTTGGGTTTACCTGAGAGGCAGGTTGGTCAGTGCAGTGTTTGGCTCAGGACTGCTTGGCTTATGGCATCATTCCATGGTGCCACTGGCTCTGACACCTTCAGTCCTCTGGGTCCTACTCTTCCTGAGCTGGAGAGCCTTTAGAAACCTGTGCTCCTGCATGTTTTGGAAAGTGGATCAGGGACTTAGGACCAAAAGAAGGGGCCAGAAAGCTGAGCCCTCCGGTGTGAATTCTTTTTTGTGGAAGGAGGGGCTGCCTCCTGACTCTTCCTTCACACATCAGGGCAGCAAGAACCAGGGCTTTATTGATGAGGCCTAGGAGCTAAGACAAAGCCCAGCATGCAGATCAGAAGGGCATGGTACAGCTGCCAAGAGATGAGGGACACAGGCACCAGCCTCTGCAGGTGCTATTGTTGGGGCACTTTGTCTCTTCTCAGTTCTTAAGGAGAAGTGTGCAGCAAGGGGGTTCAGCACTTCACGAACTGGTGTGTGACCTCGAAGATTCCCACAGACTCCTGAGTCTTCTCATCATAGTCAGTCCAGTCCTATGGAATAAGAGGGCGGTGTTAGCCTCACAGCACAGAATGGGTCACTCTGCAGAACGGATGAGACTGCGGCTCTGGCTCAAGACACTCAGGACAGAACCACAAAGCTTGACCTGAACTCCAGCTCCTTCAGCTTTGTGTCTGTGTGCAAGTCTCTGAACTCCTCTAAGTCTCAGTTCTGTTCTGTATTAAAGAAAGGTACAACAGACTTTAGATTCAATGTGGAGGCTCCAATGAGGAAACACATGTAGCCTAGTACCTGGCACAAAGCAGAGCTCAGTATATGCAGCTATTATATTAGAGAACATGCAAATGGAGTGAAGAGTTTTGCTTTGTTTTGAGGCAAGGTCTCATTATGTTGCCCAGGCAGTCTGGAACTCCTGGGCTCAAACAATCCGTCCCCCACAGTCTCCCAAGTTTTGGGACTACAGGCACCTGCCACCATGTCCAGTTTAGAAGGCAGTTTTTGTCCTTCCCCAATGACTGAGCACAAGACTTTTCCACAGGTAGTAACAATGATTATTTGTTAGATGGATAAAGTCACTACAAACACTAAATGAATACTGACCATTGCTCCCAGGGAAAATATGGGGTTAGGTTCCTGTGAGCCTTGGGTCATGTTTTCACTAAATGATCAGTAGATAACTTTGTTTCATGTACACTTTAGACACCTCACTTAACATATATTGAGGACTGCCTGAGCTCACCGCCAAGAGCACTAATTCATGCTTCAATGAAGATTATCTAACATGGGGGATGGGACTGACTGCTGGGTCCTGGGCAAGGGTGGACGGCTGCCAGCAGGATGGAAGCGACTTTAGAGCAGCACTTGGAGGATACAATGAAGAATCCATCCCCCGTAGGAGTCCTGTGTACAGATTCAGGACTTACTGTGGGTTGCCATGGGACTCTATCAGATGATATGTTAGCAAGCAGCTAAACTGACTTCTGACCCCACTGATATTCCTGTGGTGTGCCTAGAATCAGATAACAGGAACATTATGATCCAGAAACAGGACGGCATCACAGTGGCAGTGCACAAAATGGCATCTTGATGTCTCCTGTCAGTTCTTCAGCACCCTTTCAGTGGGTCTGTCCTACTTGTTAATTATCTTGTAAAAACGATTACAGTTCCAGCGATAAGGCCATTCATCTGATGTGTACTGGGCATTTCTCTGTTTATTTTGGAGTAAATTGCTTTTTGACCAACCTATTGATATTAGTAGGAAAGGATCATGTTTTGAGGCAGAAGGTCCAGGTTAATCTGTATATAGAATTTTATGTTCAGTAAGTCTGTGTAGAGGAAAGCTTTTTTAAAAAAAGGTTTTCTAATATGTATTTTCTCTGCCAGGCACATCTCACTTCCTTGCACATAGGAACACTAAACAGCAGCTCAGCACCACACGGGTGTCCATTGAAATAGCAAAAAGCACAAAAATGTAGAACCAGCTTTCCATCGATCTGGTCAGACAATCCCACCCGAAGTCCTACAGCACCCTGCAAGTCCCCCAGGTCATATACCTTCTCCTGCAGATTAATGTCATTGAAGACTGTCCCTGACTCCGCACCCTCAGCAGCAAACCCCGCCTACGGGGGACAGGAAAGCAGCAGTTAGTCTTAGGGAAGGGAGGCACAGGGCTGGCATGTGAACTTGCCCAGGAGGTTGCCCCTCTAGCAGGTCTGGGATGGAGACAGATGCATAGTGTGCAGCTGTTCTGGAATAACTGCTGAGCTTTCAGGGCTTGGTAGCTGGCTCTGAACTAGAGTGCTTCTTCCAAATTACAGCCACGGACCAGAAGGCAGGAGTGAGGTGAACTCTTTCACTCCCAATTTACCGAGGACCCAGGACATGTGTCACTTCTCTCTCTGGACCTTAGTTTATTTTATTTAAGAAATGAAGAATATTACCTCTTCTCCTTTACCTCACAGATCTGTTGTGAGGTGAAAATGCTATATAAATAAGGGAGGTAGGCACTAGTTCTGGAGTCAGACAGACCTGGGTTCAACTTCTATAAAGCTTCACTGCTTACTAAGTGTGTGACCCTGGACAGCTGCAAAACTCTCTGAAGTTCTTTCTTCATCAGAAAGAGGATGAATCATTTCATAGGGTACTGTGAGGATTAAATGATGTCACATGTTAAATGGGCACAGTGCCCAGCATACAGAAGGCACTTATGAGTGACAATTATTATGTTCTTACAAAGGAGAATTTCGAGTCCACGGCTTCTGTAGGAAGCAAAGTTCTGCAGTCACTTCATACATTCCCTCCTCAAAGACACAGTTCCCCCAAAAGACACACGTACCTGGGGCTGGAAATCAACTGGTTCGAGGCCCCGGCACTCAAACTCTACGATTGTCTTGAACTTCTCATTGTCTTCAGCCTAGAAAGGAAGTGTGTTGTGGAGGTAGGCCCAACTATGCTCTCAGAGGACCCCATGTTCTTCCTGCCATGTGGGCTTTACTGTCCTTGTGAGCCTAGAATGGGACCAGGAATAACTCCTCCATTCTGAAACAAGCCTGCCTTGGGCATGCTCCTCATGAGACCCTCTGTGGGGAGACTCTGGCCAAAGGAATATTTGAAGCGGATGGGAACAAAGAAGGGACTTTTGAGACAACGGTTCCAGGCTCTTGAATAGGGCAGAATCTGCAGGACAACTGTCAGCAGAAGAAAAAGCGGTTTGTTCTGAGAGATGTTTGCATTGGCCATCATGTCCACTCTTCCCCAACAGGATTACTTAAACTAGGTTGACATGTATCATATAATAAACCATCCCATTCCGGCCCTGTCCCCTGACCAAAACTCCTATAGAATATGTTGCAAGTGCTTTTCTTCTACATCTTTGTTCTCATGTTCTTAAGTTACACATAAATAACCTGAGCAGTTTCAGTTCATTGATGTTTCCAAGGCTCTCTTATGCCCAAGAAGCAGTCCCTTTAAGTTTTCCACGACTGAACTAAATCTCATCTCTGAGTAATCTTTTTCAACCTCTGTGCAACCACAGTCACACACACTGACAACCCTCTGTGGACGTGGATGCTGCAGAAAAGGGATGTAGATTCTAGGGTCAGCCTGTCTGGATATCAGGCTGGGCTCTGCCTCTCTTCCCCTTCGGGCATTAGAGTTCTAAAATTTCAAAGGAGCCAAGGAAACCTCTGCAGGTCACCTGTGAGAATCTGGAATATGTGTGAAGAGCCCAGCACAGGAGCTAATACTAAACCCAATAAATGGTAGATAAAATCACCAATGGAATATTAAGGTATGAAGTCTCCAGATAATCCAAATGGCCCCAGAACACACAGCCATCACCTTTTGCTGCTACTGTCATGCAGCGAGGCCTTTATGAAAGCCTTTGGAAAGGGATGTGTGTGGAAGGGCAGCTCTTTGAGGATGGGGAGCTAGGAAACTCATGCCTACCTGACCTACGGGTTTAGAAACCCCAAGTGCCACAGCTACACGCTACACATCAACAGTCATCCTGTCACTTACTGTAAAAATTGTTTCACTTCAACTACACGTCTGGCACTAACGGATGTTGGATGTGAGCTGGTCTGCATCTTTTACTACATTATGACTGACTTGAGGGCAAGTCCTCATTTAACTGTGCTCTTCAACTTCAGGATATTGTGAAAATTTGACATAATTCAGATATTTTTAATGTCAAATAAAGGAAAAAATACAAATAACTGCCATTCTTTACACAGACCCAAAGTATTTCACCCCTTCCTCCCCCGTGGGCTAACCTCTTACAAAGTACTGCACAACTATCTAACAATAACATTGGAATTCTCCAAGATAGGTTGCAGCAAAGGACTATCCTCCATGGTTTCTGAGAAGACTAGCTAGTCCCCTAAGATGTAGACAAGGCAAGTGCTCTTGGCCATGGAAACTGAGCAGCTACCTTGTATAGGAAGGTGCTGCAATGTTAATGAATCTTTTCTTTACCAGGCATTTAGTATATGGTGAATAAGTAAGTGATTAAGCAAATGAACTCAGTGAATTAAAGAGTAAAAACATATGTGAGTGAATGTCCTATAGCAGGTCCCTCTGATGTAGCTGTGACCCTAGCAACCAGGCCTCTTCATTTTCAGTTTATATGTCATTCCACCACGCTTGGCACTATGGCAGCAAACTTACATTATAAGGCTTGATGGTGCTGCTCAAAATCTCTGAAACATAAGAGAAGACAAAGTTGACTTGCATCCATATCCAAGCTCCACCCTAGTGCCCAGATGTAGCTCTGGGAAAGACAGACAGCTGCAAAGGCTTTAATACCTCAGGCATAAGTACACCTACAGGTAATATGAGCCTTTTAGTCTGGTATCAGAAAGTTGTGGGCCATCCTGGCAGAACTCAGTGATCACAGCCTGACCTACCGATGGAATTCTCCCGTGCACACAGCTTGCATTTCTGGACCATAGAGGCACTGCCACGGCCTCCCTTCAATGCCACACTGTCCTGGCAAAAAGCAAACAGAACCTCTGATCACATATCCATTTGATGTAAGGATACTGAGACTCCAACCCTCCACTTACTACCCAAATGAAGAGACCAAGACCCAGAGAGGTCAGTGACTTGCTAAAACAGGAATCGCAGAGAACAGAGGTGCGGCTCAGTATTTAGTGTGTACAAACTGCTGGGGTCAATCTGCAGCACCAACAAGAAGGATCCTGGGAGGTTTATCGGGACCGAGGAAGGGTTCCTTCTTGAACTCTGTCTAATATCACAAAATGCTTATTGTTCCCAGTGCTGATCACATTGATGCTTGTCCTCCCAAATCACAAAGAGTGGAATCCAAAGCACTGAAGAGATGAAAGCTAGTTTCTCCAAATTCCTGCCAAGAGGTATATGCGTGTGCGTGTGCGTGTGTGTGTGTGTGTGTGTGTTGGAGAATGCCACTTACCATCAGTCGGATGTACTGCCACTTCTCTGAAATTTCACCACAGTTGCCACATTTCATCTTGGGGGGTGGGAGGAATAAGAATACTAGTAAAGCAGCTGCGGACGATGTGAGACAAGCAGGCTCATAACCCACCTTCTTACTGACACTCTCCATTTTTACAACCAGCCCAAGGATATAACCAGACTTATCTCTAGGTCAAGAACATACCCAGGTGCTTCTCATGTTGAGGTACTTGCCTTCCTCTATGAAGGACCCACCGAGCTGAAGATTCAAGACTTACGTGGTCCAGAAATGGCTTCAACAGGCCCCCAGCCACTCAGCCTGCTTAGGGATTCCTTTGTGTCCCCTCTCAGTCCCTGATTTAAGTGTTTATTACACTGCTGTTACTCCATATTTCTGTCTCCATCACTAGACTCTGCCTCTTGTAATCAAAGAACACTGATTCCCCACATAAACCCTGGAGCTCCAGCTTCAAAAGTGTTTGGAAATAAAAGTCAAGGGTGGCTTCCCAGAGGACAGGGCTTTTGACTGGTTTAGAAGGGTTCTGGGATTTGTATTAGAACAGAGCAGAATCTCTGGGATCAGTGACAGGGAAAGACCTTAAACTGTTCAGATAGGAAGAGGACCTCTGCAGACCTTGCTACTAGGGTACCAGGCTTATCAATGTGGAGTGGGGAAGAAAGGGTAGATCATGCACAATATTAAGCTATTTCACAATACAACCCGATCAACAAAATAGGAGGTGAAATTATTTACCTTATTAAATAGTCACAAGATCCCTTCAAGTAGCATTTCGATTAGTGTCCATTTACAGATCACAAAATATTTAACAAAAGGAAAACAACACATTTTCCAACTGTCAGAGATGAACCAGTAAAGTTAAAGAAAACCTAAAAATTTAGCCATAAAAACCCTAACATTTAACGTCTGCGCAAATATTTCTCATGCTGCCGGAGACAATGAGGTCAGCGCAGGCCACACCACCCCGGAGGCCCCAAGGTGCCCACTCTCCGAATGCGCATCCCTCCTCAGGGCCCGCTCTCCCCAGCCCCGCACCTTGAGGTACCACCGGAAGTCCTCGCCCAGCGGCCGGAGGTTGGTGAGGTTCTCCAGCGTGGCTCTGAGCTGCAGCGCGATTTTCTAAAGGGAGGGCGGGCCACACTATCAACAGCAGGGGCGGCGCCGGTGCGCCCCAGGACCCCAGCTCTAGCTCTGCCGCCCACTCCCTCTGCGCGACTTGGCTGCCATTATTCTCTCCTGGCTCGAGCCCCTGCCTCCCAGGTCCTCACCACCTTTCCCAGCCCGGCTGTCCCGCGCCTGAAGCAGGCGACCGACCCCTCACCCCCATGTTGATCTGGCTCAGTACAGCGCAAGCTGATGCCGCTACTTTCCGGCCAGTCGTAAAAGGAGGCGGGGCTTGCAAACTTTAGCTCGTCCGGGGGCAGGGCTCCGGCTGCGGACTAGGCTACCGGCCAGTCACCTACCCGGTGAACCTCATTTTAGGAGAACTGGTACCCGTGGTCAATCCAGTGTTCCGGCCTGTGTGAACTGGCCTCCAGGAATTGGCAGTGCCACATATACTCACAGAACCCCGATTTTGTGCCGGCACTAAGCGGACAAGACAGTTCCTACCCGTTGGTTCTCTTTTCTGGCTCAACCCTACGCTGCCTGGCCTGAGGTTTCTGGGTTCATCCTGGCTCCTCCTGCCCAGGGACAGCGTCGCAGATTTGAGGATAGTGTCTTTCTCCTCTTTAACTACTTCCTCTGGAGCTGCCCAGAATCCTGGTCTAGATTCTTTCCAGGGGAATGCCCATGTCCTCGTCCTTCTCATCGTGGCTCTTGACTGGACACGCCACTCCGGCGGGCTCTCCTCCGTGACCCCACTTGTCTTAGCTTATCTCACCTTTACTGGGCAGGGGCTCTGGGCCCCTCATTCAAGATGTGCTCTGTGACTTTAAAATTTGAAGTCACCTTTTTTTTTTTTTTTTGGT